TTAAATCAGAACTGAGCAGGAAAAGTTACACCTCCTGGTAGGTGGGAATGCGATAGTGGGGGGGGAGAGGAGATTGTAGAAAGAGAAAATACAAGCACAGAACACAGCATTTGGAGATGCCACTTCCTCAGAACTTTGCTCCTGCCAGCAGCACATCTACATTTGCTCAACCCCTTCTTTGCATGAAAGGTGGGTACCCCAGGAAGTCTATGTGTCATCTGAGTAAGTTTCATCATGCAGGATATTTGCAATGAGTTTTATTCATGCAGACATAAATACATCAAGGGGTAAAGAAGGCATCCTCTCCACTTCCAGAACATCACAAGCAGCCCCCTCACAACTCCACAAAGAATGTAGTGCAGGCCTCTGCAGCCATACATGATCTAGACCAAGAAACCATGGACGTCAAGAACCGCCCAAAGGAGATCCAGGTCACATATACACTCCTTGAGGCCTCCCTCTTTAAATCCTACAACTGACAGTGAGTCAACTAGAAATAGAAAATCCTTAAGCATAGAACAAGCACAGATGGATCCTTACTTACAACTGTTTGACCCATGACCTATGACTTTCTGACTTTACAATGGTGTGACAACAATACACGTTCCGTAGAAACCGTACTTTGAGTGTCTATACAACCAACCTGTTTTTCATGTTCCATACAGTATTCAATAAGCTACATGAGATATGTGATGCTTTAACACAAAATGTCCTTTTTGTTACATAATTTTTCCCTCATTATAAGCTAATGTGCATGCTCTGGGTACATTTAAGGTAGGTAAGGCTGAGCTATAATGTCAGTAGGTTAGGTGTATTAAATGCATTTTCCACTTACGGTATTTTTAACTTATGAGGGGTTTATGAGAATGTAACCCCATTGTAAGTTAAGAAGCATCTCTACCAACTTTATCTCAATTATGATTTCAATCATAGAATCAGACTGTTGGATCGCACAGTGTAACTCTTGAAGCCACAGGGAAAGGAGCAGGAAAACCAACGCCTTCTTCCTTTTAGGTTTCTGTGACATCACGATGGGCAGTGCAAGAAACCACTTCCATGCCACAAGTGTCCTCTACCTGACCAGCCGACTTGGATATAACATTAAGTGATAGGGACTCAGAGGCCAGAGAAAATATAGAAATGCATTTTGGGGCTTCCCAAATATAGTTCAAGATGAGTCCCTCAGGGCTTCATTTTCCTTCTCCGTCAGTCTGTGCCTGGCCCTCAGCCCAACGCCAGGCACCCTGAATGGGTTCTTGGATGGTCTATATCTGGTTCTTCCTGCTGGTTTCGCAGCTGCTCATCTCCCAATTCAGAAACCCTTTGGGTGCTACATCTTATCACTTGAATGAAGCCAGGTGGTCTCTACCTCCCTAGGTTGATACTGATATCCCCTCAGTCACTGGGACTTGGAGACTGACACAGTCAGTTTACCATACCACTTCCTCAGTTAGAGAGCTATCTTTTAAAAAATGACTTTGCCAAGGTGATTACTGAACCAAAAGCAGTATCATTTTTGTTAAAGTCTATGCTTATGCTTAAGGTATTTATCAAATCTTTAAAATGCTAATCTGTGCATGCAGTTATCACAATGTGAACAAAGATACATGAGTGAACAGCTCTTCCCAAAGCAAGATCTCTGCCAACCACCAACTGCTGAATCCACAGCACCTTGCAATGCCTATTCCATAGCATCCAAATCTTTTTAGGGACAGTGAGGCAAGGAAGACTTTAAAACTCACCACCCTCCTAGTCAACACAGTTGCTGATGAAAGCACAAATGTCCCCAAACTCTCTGCGTGTTCTACTAGTCCTGTGACCAGAAAAAGCCTCTTGTCCAAACTGCTTTTTCTAAACATCAAAGTAACAAAAGGGTAACCCAAGGTTACCCCAAACACATTCCTGCCCCCTTTAGATCTTATCTGTTGCCCTGCGTCTGCTGCAGGAGGCCACCTCCTGGGTGGCCCTAGGCCCATTGCCACTCTTTTTCTACCCTGGGCTATTCCAAACAAACTCAGGAAGCCTTAAACAAGAGGCAGATGGTGAGGAAGAGAAAGTCTGCAAGTAACACCTCTCTATTACATAATGCTAAGCTCAAAACCTCCTAGAATCAGCCTTGAAAATACCTAATGGCCTGTTGCTTTAGAGTAAACATGAACTTGAAATAGGCAAAGAGAGGATTATAATTATTTCATTTGATGACCAGTGAACAACCATGTTAGTAAATAACATACCAACATATTAGTACATTACAGGTTGAGATAGGACCATATATTAGTAAATTACAGGTTGGTGCAGTAAGTTTACAGGTGGTAAATTACAGGTTCTTGATTCAATCAACACTCATGTAACATCCAATACCTACCAAGCACTGAGCTAGGTCCCGTAGGACACATTTTCTAACCTCACCTTAGACCAGATCACTACGGAAGTCACTAGTAGTGCTCACTCATATCCACTTCTCCCTTTTCAGCACAAGAAATATTGAATTATGATTAAATAGGGTCATATGCCCAGTCCTGGCCAAAGTGATGGAACTCACCGCTGGGTGGGATCACATAATTGCTAGAGCAAGACCCTGCACCATTTCCTTCCCAATGCTGCAGTGATCTTGCAAGCTCACATCAAGACCAAGGCTCCTTCAGTTTGGGTCCTTGAGTGACTATGATGAGCTGGGTCCAACTGCCAACCACACTGGACACAGCACGGGAAGGAAAGAAACTGTATTTAGCCATGGGGACTTGGAGGGATTTGTTACTGCAGCATAACATCACCTATCCTGCTGGTACATCCTGTTTAAAAAAGAGAAACACCTGCAAAAGCATCCCATCAATTTGTTTTCTAAATCAGATAATACAGAAAAGCAGCATTTGTTTCAAAATTCAACTTCATCAGGAACTGAGCACTCTCTTGAAAAGCAGAAGGCATGGACAGTATAGGCATGTTCAAACAACCTGAAGGAATTAGAAATGAAAACAGAATGACCATCAGCAACGAAAGAATCAAACTGTATGGAATTCAGCTTAACAGGCTACAATAAGAAGGCCACCTTCTGACAATAGGAACAGCCATTTATGAAGCAGTGAGCTCCTCAATGAAAAAAGCATTCAAGTGGAGGCTGGATGACCATATTTTCTCTCTTCAGAAGTCCCATCCCACCTCTCTTGAGCTTCCACTGAACTTAATTAGAATCAGGTCTCTATTTCTCCATCCTCCTATGGGAGTTCACTTTTGGGTCTCTCCCTACACCCACCCCCAACCCCTTGAGTCCATTATCTATCACAGAGTCCATTATCTATCACAGAGTCCATTATCTATCAGGTGCCAATAAACACCTGCTAAATGAATAAATGAGCACTGTAGAAAGGAAGCCGGCATTGGAGGCAAAGATCAGTCTAATAACCTCTACGGAGCCTCCAGACTAAAGCTAAACACACTACTGCACACATCTGTGCATGGGAAGCCTCCTTCTTATAAAATAAAAAATAAACGTCAATGAACACCTTGTTATGATTTATTACTGTACACAATTTAAAACCACAATGAAACCTAACACTGCATTGTGGCTATCTTTGTTCTTGGACGTGCATTTACATGTGCAGGCTGCTGTTTTGCCATGTGGAATTTTGTGTGTGAAGTGTTTATTCTTTCTATTTAAACACATACACACACACACCCTTGTTTCTATTGCATTATTATATTCCCTATTATCTCATCACATGGTTTCTCTTCTTGCAGCAAGAGTACACACCCTGCATTATTGCTGACATAAAAATTACTTGTCAAAAATACCTCTATCTGAGCATCATATTACTCATCTGTTCTTTGCAAAGCACTGCCTTTGTTTCAACTGGGACTAGATAACTACTTTTCCTAGTGATTCCTGAATGCTTGTAGTAGGATAAAGGCTAGTGTCACCTGTGTCTTTAAGGTCACCTTCCAAAACAAAACTACCTTAGAGATGAATATGAATAATAAATCAAGTTTTTAACTTCATTTTTCAAGGGATTTGGAGGAAAATGGTGAAGAGCGAATCTGTCACAGATACCAAGGTGCTACTGCAGTGTAAAAGAGAGTATACCAGGAGCCTTTGGCCCTCAGCAGTCTGTCCTCCTAGAAGAAAAATCGAAAGTCCATTTCCATAACCATTCTTACTCCCTGCTACTAGTGTAGGATGCGCAGGACTCTGCCCTCTAGGAGAAAATGCTAATGCCGGGGTGTCCTCCTAAGTCTGAAGGTTACGTTTTTTCATTGCATTCTTATCAAGATAACCCCAGATCTGGTTAGGTTGACATTAACACAGAGCTATCCTTGGAAAGAAAAGACCGGGTCAGAGTTTTTGGAAAAGGCCCAATAACCTAAAGACAAAATGCAGAATGAGGCTACTGGTTTACGGCTATCTGAATGGAAACTTCACTCAAGCTGTTTTCTCTGTTCTCTTTCTGCTGCTCCCAACAGCCCTCCCTTCCACCTCCCAGTACTCACTGCTACCACATCTCTCTTAATATCGCAAACACTATTACAACGAAGGGAAAGGAGAAAGACAGTATTTCCTAAGAAGGTCACTGCATTTGACCAGCGCTCAATTAGAGCACTAGGCAAAAGTATAATCAGACTTACAATGATACCTTTTCAACAAAGGATACCCCACCTCTAGACTGAAGCCTAAATATGCTACTACAGATAAGAAAGAAGGCATCTATGGAAACCCCACATTCAGATACAACTGCCTGTGTATTAATTATTCCCATCAAAGGAAACCAGGTGCGATTTCTACAATCCCAAATTCACCCTGCCCTGCCTCCAATGGCTTCTTCAAAGGGAAGGCATAAAGTCATTTGCAATTTCTTTCTCGGAACCAGGAGTTTTAGCAGCCCCCACACCTTCTCACAGATAGGAATGATGTTGATGAAGAAACAACCCAGACAGCCTTGTACCAGCACTGTCGGCCCGAAAGACCCAGAGACACCCAGGCGGCTACCCAGGTGCTGGGGGGTTACCTGAATCTGTCACCGAGTCTCTTTCACCCCCTTCTGCGTGATGACATCAAGTGGAAATGGTATGCGTTTGGGAGGCAAGAGGCTGACAGGCAGGAAACACAATTGAGACTGAGCTTTCTTCAGCCTGCAGTGAAATACATGCAGGAAGGGTTAGATACGCGCCGAGGAGAAGGAAATCCAAGCGCCCTCTCGGGCCGGCGGGGCTGGAGCGGGTGCTCTAGGGAGGTGGAGCAAGGCGGCTGAGGTGTTGAGGACTGGCGGCCGAAAAGGGGGCGTCACGGCTCCTAATTGTGTCTATAGGATAAATAACCACCTCCCCCTCCTCCGCAGTCTCCCCCGCCCACGAGTTCCCCTCTGGTGGCAGAGCATCTACACAGTACGCCCCAGCGCGTGGAGAATAGCATCTTTGGGCAAAGACACACTGGCAAAATCTACTAGGTAACCCGGTCATATGGGAATGCGGGGCGCCTAGTCACCCGCGCAGACACACAGCGCGGCAATCGCGAGCATCTTTCTTTCGTTTGCCCTGTCCGCCACCTCATCAAGTCACTGTCACTCTGTTTTGGCGATGTCTCTACTCTCTCCAGACGCGGGCAGCGCTCCCCACGCCATGCCCCCACCCCCCGCTGGATCCGGGACCGCCGCTTCCCGAGCAGTGCCCCACGAGTCCAGCGGGCTTTGTCCTGCCGCTGTCCTTCCAGGAGCAAGCGCCGCAGGCGCGTGAGTCTGCACAAAAGACCCCCAATATCTGGCCCGTCACGGTGCCCTCTCCTCCCGGGAGGGGCCCGGGGGCAACTTCTAGGGGTGGAGAAGGCGTGAGACAAGGGGACTGGGAGGGGATGAGCCGGGGTGTGTGCGGGCAGGAGCGCAGCTGGGGCAAGCGCACACGCACGTGCACCCCCAGGGGCGCGCGCGGCGCGGGCACGAAGCGAGCTCCCTCGGACCGGAGCTCCAGGGGGCATCCGAGGACTCTGCCGAGCCGCCGGCAGCGCCGCTCCCCGCCGCGGCCGCCCGCCCAACTCCACCAGCGCTCGGGAGACACGCAACTCTCGAGACCACCTCCCCCACGCCCCGCCGGACCCCGCGCTCCCCTCCCCGGGACCCTTGCGGCCCCGCCACCCCATCCGCTGTCCAGAAGATCCCCCCAGTAACAGCAGGCGGCAGCTGCCCTTTCCCGCTTCCCTGGCTCCGGCGCGGCCGCCGTAGGGGCGCAGACATCCCCGCGCGCCCCTCTGTCTGCCCCGGACCCCGAGCGGGCAAAGAAGAGAAACAAACCGAAACTCACCGACCTTTCTCCGCGGCGGGCTCTGGCGCTTCTCTACAGAGGCAGCGGCGGCGACAGCATCGCCGGGTGGTCCTGGCGCGCCCGCCCCGCTCAGCCAGACGCGCGCCCCTGGCCGGCGGCAGCAGCTCCTCCCGCCGCGAGCCACCCGGCTGGCGCGAACGGCGCGGCGGCGGCGCCTGCAACCCCAGCTCCGGCCCCGCCCGGCTCTTCGTGCGGCGCCCCCACCTGCACAGCCGCCCTCCGCGTTCGCGGTCGGACACCGCCGCCAGGCGCTCGGCACCGAGCGGGAGCTTTTTGTGTCTCTGAGACTCCGGCACCGAAGGGGGTGGGGGGAGAGGCTGGGCTCCGATCCCCGCGGCACCGCCCTCCCCGGCGGCTCCACCCCCTCCTCCCCGCCCCCAGCCCGGCGGGCTCGGGACTGCTGCCCGTCCGTCCCGCATCGCCCACCTCCCCGGGGTGAGGGGCTGCCCAACCTCCCTCGCGTGCTCCCTCGGCTTTGCCCCCGGGGCCCACCCTCGACCAGGACCTCGACGCTGTCTCTCTACCGAGCGAAAGCGGCACCTGAGCTGGCGGCAGGTGTGCAAGGAGGCCGAGGCCGCTGGGAGAAGGCGCGAGGCCGAGGTGGGGGTCCGGGCCGTGGTGGGCGGGTGGGGGGTCCCGAGTCTGCGCCTCGGACCTGGACAGCGAGAGCAGGTAGCTGAGATTCTCAGGTTTCCAGATGCTGCCCTGCATCCCCGTCACCGCAAGTACTTTTTGGCTTCCCCTAAAAGTTCACCTAGCCCAGCCAGGGTGGGGCCCCGCTTTCAAAGAGGCACGAATAGACACTCCACTACCTGGGTCCCTCGAATGGGGGACAAGAAGCAGGGGAGTAAGGAGATGCAAGTCCAAGGGGTTATATGGAAGCCCGAACCCTCGGAAACCTCGGGGTTCACCCTATTCCACACCTTAAAAGGGACGTGCTTAGAATTTCTTGTTCCCAGTAGAAAATCTCCCGCCTCATGAGTTAACCGCAAAATAGGAGAATGAAGGAGAAAGGCCCTTGGTAGAAGATGGTTCCCTGCCCTTTGGCGCCTTTTGAAAGGATTTCCCTGCAGAATGAAAACCTAAAACTCTCTTCTAGAGCTCTGGTGACCGTCAGCCTGCGGACGTTCCCGGGTCTCCCCCAGCAGGGCTCTGCTGAGTGTGATCCCCACGGGTTCCCGCTGCACTTGGAAAGAACTCCCATTATCACTCCCCAGAGTGGCTTATTGAAATGCTTCTGCCAAGATTTCTTTCTTTCTTTTTTGGGGAGGGTGGGAGGCGGGGACGGAGTCTCACCCAGGCTGGAGTGCCATGATGCGATCCCGGTTCAAGTGATTCTGGTGCCTCAGCCTCCCGAGTAGCTGGGATTACAGGCCCGCACCACACCCCCGGCTAATTTTCGTATTTTTTGGTAAAGATGGGGTTTCACCATGTTGGCTAGGCTGGTGTCCTACTCCTGACCTCAGGTGATCCTCCTGCTTCGGCCTCCCAAAGTGCTGGGATTACAGTCATGAGCCATCGCGCCCGGCCTGATTTTTCTTTTCTTTCCTTTTCTTTTCTTTTTTTTTTTTTTTTTAGAGGAAGCCCTGTGAACCAATGGGGACTCTAGGTAACCTACTATAAAAATCACAGTGTAACTAAGTGCACCTTGTCATGTTCCACAATTACATCCTGTTGATGGGGTTTCCAAAAGCACTGTCTTTAAGCACATACAGAAAATTGGTCATCTAGAAACAGATAAAGCTTATGAGTATCAGTTGTCTCTAGGATCCCAATTAAAACGCGCCTCCTACAGCCATCTGACTGATCCTTATCCCTTTGTTCCCCCAAGCTAAAACCTCTATTGTACACCTGAAAGGAATGAAAGCCGTATGCGTGTTTTAGAAGCCTAAGGTAATCTTGAAGTAGAAGACTTCAAGAGTCTTTATGTTAAGCCTCAACTTTAGGGCAGGAAGGAGAGGTTTTTTTTTTTGTTTTTGTTTCCAAGACAGGGTCCTACTGTGTTGCCCAGGCTGGAATGTGGTGGCCGAAATCCTGGCTCACTACAAGTGTGATATCCTACATTCAAGCATCCTCCTGCCTCAGCCTCCCAAGTAGCTGGGGGACTACAGGAATGCCAACATGCCCAGCCAAGTTTTGTACTTTTTTTTCTGGATTGGAGTCTCTCTTTGTTGCTCAGGCGTGGTCTTGATCCTGGCCTCAGGCCGTCTTCCTGCCTCAGCCTCCCAAAGTGCTGAAATTGCAGGAGTGAGCCACCATGCCCAGCTCCAGCACTTTGGGAGGCTGAGGCAGGTGGATCACAAGGTCAGGAGTTCGAGACCAGCCTAGCCAAGATGGTGAAACTCTGTCTCTACTAAAAATACAAAAATTAGCCAGGCATGGTGGTAGGCACCTGTAATCTCAGCTACTCAGGAGGCTGAGGCAGGAGAATCGCTTGAATCCAGGAGGTGGAGGTTGCAATGAGCCGAGATCGCACCACTGCACTCTAGTCTGGGTAACAGAGTAAGACTCCATCTCAAAAGAGAGACAGAGAGAGAAATGCTGATGTTGGCAAGGAGTTGGAATAAGGAAGGTGAGTTACAATATCCCAAGATTTTACTAGGAAAATTCAGCCTAGAAATGTTACGATTATACAAAAGTGACTTTAAAGACTACTCTTCAGAAGCTAATTTGAGGGATCAGTAATTGTTCCAAAATTTTTCAACTCTTTTATTCAGCTGCTTTTGAAACAATTCTTGGGGGATTCAAGCATTCATCATGGTGTGGAGTAACCACTCCCATTCTTAGTCTTTCGCTTCCACCGGCTGGGATTTTAATTCACAGAGCATCATGGGTGTTCTGCCTTCTGTCCAGTCTTGTAAAGCTGTCACACAGAGAAGGTTAATTAACTGGGGCAGACTGGGATAGGCCAGTTCTTAAGGCTGGTCGGAGGCCAGCATTGGGGCGGGCAGAAACAGTTTGAGTCAGAGGAGGAACAGGCAACAACACGTCCCAGCAGAGTCTTCAGTGAGAAATTCCAGGATCAAGGCCGCTAGGACCAGGCAGTGTTTAGAGCTTCAGGCCAGCAGGCAGCATGGTGAGAGAATCTGGCATTGCCCTGGAGACTGGGCACTGCCCATGTGTGGGAGACAGAGAATCAAGGCTGCATCCCAGGTCTTGAAAAACTAGGGCCATCAGGATGGGCCCCCAGCACTGGGGACCGAGATAAGATCCACACATTCATGAATTCATACAAAAAAATGAGTATGGACTGTGTACCAGGAACCTGGACCTGGAATTAGGATAGAGAAAACACCCCAAATTCCTGCCCTCACAGAACTTAACATTCTAATGGAGGAAGCAGATAATATCAACGAAAAGAGTAGAACTCTGTAAAATATTTGAAGAGATTTATACTGAGCCAATTATGAGTGACCATGGCCCATGACATAGCCCTCAGGAAGTCCTGAGAACATGTGCCCCGGGTGGTTGGGGTGCAGCTTGATTTTATGCATTTTAGGAAGGCATGAGACAGCAATCAAATACATTTAAGAAATATTGGTCCAGAAAGGCGGAACAACTCAAAGCAGAGGCTTCCAGGCTGTAGGTGAATTTAAACATTTTCTGGTTGACAATTGGCAGAGTTTGTGTAAAGACCTGGGATAGACAGAAAGGGAAAGTTCCAGTTAAGATAAAGATTGTGGAGACCAAAGTTCTTCTTAGAGCAGCTGCCCTTAGAGATGATAGGTGACAAATGTTTCCCATTCAGATCTTAGTTAATCTCTTTAGGATAGAAAGGGTCTGAAAGAAAAATATCTAGCTATGTTAATAGAGATTCTTTACAGATGCAAATTTTCCTCCACAAAGAACAGCTTTGCAGGGCCATTTCAAAATACGGCAAAGAAGACCAGGCACGGTGACTCACGCCTGTAATCCCAGCACTTTGGGAGGCTGAGACAGGCAGATCACCTGAAGTCCGGAGTTTGAGACCAGCTGACCAACATGGAGAAACCTTGTCTCTACTAAAAATACAAAATTAGCCAGGCATGGTGATGCACGCCTGTAATCCCAGCTACTTGGGAGGCTGAGGCAGGAGAATTGCTTGAACCTGGGAGGCAGAAGTTGCAGTGAGCCGAGATTGCACCATTGCACTCCAGCCTGGGCAACAAGAGCAAAACTCCATCTCATACCACAAAAAAAAAAAAAAAAAAAAAAAAAACATGTTTTGGTGTAGAATATTTTGATTTTCTTCCTTGTCTCATAATGTTATGGCAGAGCCAGGTTGGAAAGTAAATCATGATATATAGAGTTAAATCAAACCCATCTGGGCCAGGCACAGTGGCTCACACCTGTAATCCCAGCACTTTGGGAGGCTGAGGTGGGTGGATCACGAGGTAAGGAGTTCATGACCAGCCTGGCCAAGATGGTGAAACCCCATCTCTACTAAAAATACAAAAATTAGTCAGGCATGGTGGCAGGTGCCTGTAATCCCAGGTACTCGGGATGCTGAGGCAGAGAATTGCTTGAACCCAGGAGGCAGAGGTTGCATTGAGCTGAGATCATGCCATTACACTCCAGCCTGGGTGACAGAGTGAGACTCCATAAAAAAAAAAATGATGAGAATTTATGATTTGTAGAGCATGACTCCCCACACCCCTTAGATAGGAATTTGGGCAAGATTAAAAAAAAAAAAATCAGAGTTTAGTCCTTACAACATAATAAACAAATAAATTGTATGCTGGAGAGTGAAAAGGTAAAGGAGAAAACAAAGTGGGGAGGGGCATCATGAAATCTGTGTGCCGGGGGGCATTTTAGATCAGTGCACAGGGAGGGCCTCCCTGAGGAGGTATTTTCTGAGCTGAGAACTACAGGGAGAAAGGGAATGTGTCATGCCAGTAAATAGGGAAAGCCTGTTCCCATCCTCAGAGGGAATAAGTGCAGCGTGTCCGCACTTCCCCATGGGCAAAGGTCAAGATACTGGAACTGGGTTACAAGGTCAATGAGATCTATAACATTGATTGATGCTGAGTCACCTGAGTTTGTATTAGAGCTGCTTACATTGGGGCTGGGATGAGTTCTTCATCTTTGTAC